AATTCATCAATTCTAATGAAAATGTACTAGGGAAGTAAAGCATCGCAGATTTACATATTTTCTGAGTAAGCTATTCGTACGAATTGAAATAATTCTTGCATTTAAACTTGTATTCCAAATTAAGATTCAACTTAAAATTAATGTAGATAATTACTGTAAAAGATTTTTGTAGTTTACGTGAGACTTGGGGTCACGTGATACGAAAAGGCGAATCAGTATGTTGAACCATGAAAGCATAGTAAATTCTTAAATTAACATCTTTTTACAAATTTATTGGCTTTTTTACAATAATTTTAAACGATATTAAAATGTTTATGCCTTCAAAATAAAAAAATTCTTAGAACTAACATTTGTTATTTGCATACTGTATGTTGTCACCAATAAAGTCTGCTTGGCGAGATTTGCGTCGGCGAAACGGAAAAGTACCGAAATGTCTGCGACTTGTTTCGAAAATGAGGTGTAAAAGGTCACCATCGAGGATATTCTGTTTGGCATCATTTGTACCGTTATTGGCGACTTTATCGCCTGCGCCGGCAAAACGGAAAAGTACCCGTGTATTATATTTCATATGGAGAAAATCATAAAAAACAACATGGAGGCAGCTCATTCAATTAACTGGAAACAGAATTCATGAACTACCGATGTTTATGGCTTTGGAAAAATATTACCAGTGAAAAACATAGCTGCAGTACGATCCAATAAGAAAGATTTCATTAGATCCTGCTTTCTTTCTATAAGCTTATAGTCTCAATCTTATTTCTTCAGGCCCTTATCAGTGGACTTTTATCCTTATCCCAAACAAAATGAGTGGATAAGATCATAAGACAGTTGCAATTCAATCTAAGTTTGATTCTGAGCTCCTGAATTGGATACACATATGAATATCTTTGTAGTTATCCCACAAGTGATATGAATACAAATAACTTGCCCTTAGAAAATTTTATACAAAGGCATCCATCCCCAGGTAAGTAGATTTTAAATGTTTTACATTTTATCTACTTCACTACTCTTGTATTGAGTTAAGTTGCCTGGTAAAGCATAAGCTAGAACTATTAAACATCAGAATTGAATTGAATCAAAATGAATTTCCACAAATTTAAAAATACATATTTTCTCTCTGGATAAATAGTTTTAAAAATCATATTGATCTAATATAGAAAACTCATCGTAAATTTTTCTAAAACAAGTTATTTTTCAAAATTCCTTAACTTAAAGTGAATACTTATATATATGTGTTACCTTGAAAGACCGAAATTGGAGAATGTCGACTTTCACCGGAGAATGTCAACATTCACCAAATACGTCGATGAAAGATCGAATATTTCTTTACATTCTTGTACATTCGGACCCTCACCGGTGTATGTCGAAAATCACAGATATACTCTAATGTAGGTCGAAAAGAGAGGAGTATATGTACACGCTGCCATTCCAAAAGGAAGTGTTCCACAAATAAATGCAGTTGTAAAAGCAAGGGCCTCTTGTGCAATTCAAAGTGTCATAATAGTTTAAGTTGTTGCAATAAATAAGATTTGAATCACATAATTTGGTAAGTTATAACTTCTATTATTTTCCTTTCTCATTTTGAATGTACTGTGTGTTTTATGTTCTTATATTCTTAAGTTCGTATTCTGAGTCTCAAGTGCTTTTTTTCGCGAATGAATTACGGATAAGAAAATATAATATTCTTATGTGTTCAACATTCACAATTAGTACATGGTGAATGTCGACATTTACCGGTGTAAGTCAGAAATAAGAGTATTTGGAAAATATTTCGGACATGCACAAAGCGACTATGTGAATGTTGACATTCACCGGTGAAAGTCGACATTCTCCAGATTTCGGTGTTTCACCGTAACCATGTATAATATGTGTGTATGTGTGTGTGTGTGCGCGCGCGCATCTGTGTGTGCACATGGAGAGCGAGATTTCATTTATCGGATGCAACATGTTGAAGATCTTGTCCCAAAATCAGCGTCGCTGCTACAGAAGGGATTTTCTTATTGTAAGCCATTCACTTGGTCGTCTCGTAATGCATCTGGTGGTCATTCATTTCAACAGTTATAACACACTTATAAATATACATTATTTTCTTGTAAATTTCGGTGACTAAAACAATTTTTTTGTTCTCATTGTTCGTTGAAATAACTTTTTTTAATGTTCAATCGAACAGCAGTTTACTTGTGCTTATATTTATCACATTTGCATGGTGCTGAAGAAAATACTGATGAATTAAAGTTATTCCGTTGCAATAAAAATGAAAATTTCCTTGAAGCATGTGCATCTGTCGCGAAAGAAGTAATATTTTACTTTGATGCCCATAAGCTCGATATTGCCACTATTTCATTCTTAAAACTGTAATATATGTTGCATACTTTATTTCTTTATTGAAATGTTTCATTCCGTCTACCCTTGTAACATTTTTACTTATCCTTCTTTGTTGCATAATGGTTTTAACTCCCTCAGCTATGCTACGTAAGAAAGTGGCCATACCTGGAAAACTTTTATTTTCAAAGTAATCGAAATTTTACTTTCTAGTATGGATATCTGTCGTTATCTTGTTCGATCTAAAGCGTTAGTATTCTTGGCCATTTGCCGAGAGAGAGAACCGAGGCGAATTCATTCTGTACTTTATTCAATTTATTTAGTTATTGTCATGGTCATTCACCTCATATACAGTGTTCAGTCAGTCTGGCATATGAAGTTTTTCAGTTCGTTTCATTATGGAGCAAATCCATTTTTCAATTGCCTTTGTAAATTTATAGGTGAGAAGTTTCTCTTTTTTCTACACATCAAAAAGCGAAGGAATTTAGCGTTCTTACTGTCTTCCGTCGCCCTCCTGGCTGTTTAATAATGACTGTAGAGCATCATTTGTCTGTAGAGATACTTCTTTGCGGAGTCGGTACCAATGATATGGATTAGAGTTGTCAAAACTTTTGGAACTAACTATAAAGAGTGATAAATAGTGGAGCAGAATGTTTCAACAACACCATTATTGCTTATAAAATATGAAAATTTTGTTGTTCCATCTAAAATATCGGTTAAGAGTTGGTTTGTGGCTCTTAACATCCATAGCGGCCGTTTGATACTACCTCTGAGCAAAGGTTATTAGACTTGGGTTTAGTTCACAGAGACTGATTTAGAGTTTCGATGATTATCCTGGTGAATAAATGGGAAATTTTCCTTGAAATTCCTCTGTGAGTTCTAGACAGACGGCTTTCGGGTGATTTCCATCGTGAAGAGCCTACCAGTGGCCGAGCGGTGAAGTCGTTGATCACCCGAGTTCCGTCCGAGGTTCGAATTCCTCAAACGGGCTGCCTGCATGGGCGTTTTCGTGCTTTCCCCATGTGTAACGTGTATACGAACCAGTTTGTCTTAGGAAGGTCCCCCACAAAGGCATCTGTTCCTTAGGCAGATAGCCTTTAGAGGCTTTGCCGTAATCACATAAACCCCAACTAAACCATCTTGAAGATAGTCTCACACAAAATAATTAAAAATTGCACCTCCCCCGAAGGCATGAACTTTTGATTACGGTGGAGGATTTAAAATGTGTAAGCATTCCTTCTCGAAGTCTGCATTGTGGAAAGATTAAGAAGGAGTATTTTATTGTATTTTGTAACTGTGTCATTAAAGCATCCTGTGTTTTCTAGGAATCAGTTAAGGGGAAATAGGATGGGATGATTATATCACTGTTCATATTTTTGATAAATCGGTTTTATCTACATATTCATACAAGATGTTTCAGTGAGACTGCACGACTGACTGTTTCTTAATACGTTAAGCGCCGTATCAGTCAGTGGTGACTTACACTATACTTTCTGATCAGACCTTTAAAAGAATGGTGACTTGACAATATGCTTTTCGTTCAGGCCGCGTCAGTTATGACTGACGATATACCATATAAAAAATTATATTCTATCAAATTCTACATATATATCTGTTCGCTAGAGCATAACGCTGATATTGGATATCATGGGCTAAACAAAAAGGAATGCAAAAAAGGCTCGGCTCCAAATAGTTCGTTTGTTTTAAGAAGTGAATCAAATAAAGCAGGCCTTCATGTCTTTTAGTCACATAATGCTTTTTAGTAAAAAGTAAACAAAATTTAATACTTCTGGCAAATATAAGTATCGCAAAAAGCACTTTTTAACAACCCCTCCCCCCCCCCAAAATGCGGTGAAATCTACCTGTATGTATGGAAGCTTAACCAGTTGCTCATAACAGGTCATGTTTTTGGGTGACCAATATAATGAAAACAATGATTTGCTTTCAGCAGCTAAGCGAATGAAGATGAGAGCGATTTGAAGCCTAAAACAGAATTAGTCACTTTGACGATGATGACAACTGGACAGGTATTGATGAAAATTCTGAGGATTACTTACCACAAAGAATTTCACTTTTGATAGGATTCAAGAGCATATTACGTCACAAGATGCTGTTAACAATCAGTGTCTGATAAAATCAGAATCTTTTCAAAACAGACTAAAATAGAATGAAAAAGATCAAATTTATAAAAGCATAATTTCTTTTATCCTCTTTTATTTTAAATCTGTTCTTATTTCGCTGAATAAGGCCTTACTCTAAGAAAGCACAAAAGAAAGCCCTGAAAGTGTGAAGCATTTTATGACATGTCTCTTCCATAAATAAAAAAAACTCATGCGGTTAGGTCCGACCTTGAAGAAGTTCGTGAATGGAGATTGACAGGTTCCGTCTATCCTGCTACTCTTCTTTGACGTCAGTTGTTGCAATTGGGTGAACTTGGAAACGTTACGTTATCTCTCTTTGCATAGATAAAAGGAGAAAAGATGTGGACCACTTTTTTTTCCTTCTTTGGCCGAATCGTTCAATCTTTCACTGCCTTTCCTGCGCGATATTTCCTTATCATTAGATTTGATTTGATTTCAGCTTGATTGGGAATTGTATTTAAAAACGCAAACTTCATATCATGGTCCCTTTTTCTCAGCGGGAGGAGAAGCGAGAGGTGAGGTTTGAATTTTTTTTATCTGTAAAATGAAACGGAATTTGACAAATGTATCATGCTGAGGATTTGTATCCTATGTCTAATTTACATTCCTAAGAAAGGCCTTCTTAATTAGCTTCAGAAATAAACGAGGGACAAAATGTCGCTACCCACTGAATGGTAAACTGGTATCTTATTATAAGTTCTGTTATGGAAATGTTCTGAAGAGCACCTGGATTAGTTACTTAACTACCAGATAAAAAGCAGTGTATATCTGCAAAGCAGTTAGAACTAAGACCACTTTTGTACAGCTTTAGCAGTTGGAGAAATGGAGGAACTTCTGGCCCACTCTTTTGAAGTAGGAGTTTTATTAAAGTCTGACTTATTAATCATCAAATATATTGTCGCGATGTATTTTTTAGTTTATTTAATATTAAGTACTTTTTGACAACTTCAGCATCAGTGGTTTATTGCCATTGTGATTATTAGGAGCGAAAAATGGAACAATAAAACCAATTATTCGTATTTGTCATCAGTTCCACGTTTCTTTCAGAAGAACGAAATTTGCATGAATTTTATTACTTCGGGCAGGCAATGGAACTTTGTTACATTAATTACTAATGCTTTTCTTAAAGGTTCTGTGTAAGCCAGTAGCAGTTTTATGCAAGATTCTGCGTTTATGAAAAGTATTAAAAATTGTTTTATAAGATATTTTTTCTACGTTTATGTTTGTGTAATCTAATCATAAACAGCGCTCATTATAACGACCTTTATTTTTGTGATCATTCCATTACAGCGACCAGTACAAAAGTCCACACTTTATGAAAATGTATTAAAATCCCATTTTTGTTATAAGGATGCGAGTTTCGTAATAATGAGCATTAGTTGTGTAGATATTATATATTCTAAGATGAATTCTTGATTGATTCTCCTTGATTGATTTTATCAATGAACTTCAATTATTTTAATAAATTTCATATAAAAGGCAACATTGTCAAAAATTTTATATATAAGTAAGATTTTATTGCATTATTGATATTACGTACGTTTGTAATAAAGTGTCAGGAATCCTCGTGTTTGGGAAGGATATTTTGTCTGCTACTTGCTTTGTGTAGCCACAAATGCGATACATATTTTTTCGCAAATGTTTAAAAATTTTCTTAGTTTTCTGTGTATTAAGTTATAACTTGGATTGTTGATTGGTATATGTTTTGAGCTGTATATATCGTCATTTAAAATAATCTAGGTCGAAAACATTGACTATTATTCATTTTTGTATCTTAACTCTGATATGGAGCAATGTTATTTAAAAATTATTGTATATTATTAATCGATCATATTTGTATAAGATCATCAAAGAAAATGCATGCGATTTATATTTCAAAATTTTACATTACAATGCAAATTTTATGTCACCCATCCTAACTCAAGCAAATTTTACAACAAGAAGTATGTCGCAAGTATTTTACAACAAGCAAAGTTTCTTAAATCGGTGTTTATATATATATATATATAATATATATTTAAAAGAACGGGGATGCAGTTTTTGACTTTTTGAGGTTTTAAAGGTTTAAACTGGAGTAACGTGTTTCCAAGGCAGCTTGTCGTAAATGTCAGATTTTGTGAGCATGCATTTAAAATGTAACACGATATTCCTCAAAATTTGCTGCTGTACGTAACGCTCTGTGTTTTGTTTGTAGAACAAAACACGAGAATGTTTCACATCTAAGAGAAGTTTTTACGATTCGTTATGTAGAAACATTAAATTAACCATTCTCATGGTTATCTAATGATTTTCGTTTTGCTTTTATACAGCACTTCTATGCTCAAAACATACTGTGTGCTCTAAAAAATGTTTATACTTTGTCTCATGAGTGTGGATTCTGAGGCTTGGTTCTTAAGGTACTTTGTGTGCGAACTGTCAGGTCGCAAACAAGAAGGTTTTCATTCGCAGATCTCTGTCATTAAATTTACGCAACTTATTGTGATATACACAGATCATGGTGCCCGCGACGATTTCCGAAACAAATTTCTGTAATTAGAAAAGAAACACGCCAATGTAAAATTTAATAGTAAATCGAAGAAAACGGGGGGGGGGAGCAGGCTTAGATTGATGCAGATATTGACTAAAATTGTCTATTTCGAGGGTGATGCATCGTTTTTAGAAAGATGGTAATTGATGTTATGCCAGAACATGCTGTGAAGTTCGTAGTGATTATTGGTTTAATTGCTTTCGACTTCATTTTAGAATTTATAATTCTCGCCCTGCTTACCAGATATGTGATCTATTCTGCCTTTCTGTCCCGTTATGAAGAAATTATGAAGAATTTCTTATTTAGCGAGGCGTCATCGTAAGTCGAATTTTCTCACTCATGCTACATTAAAGTTTATTAATTATTAAATAATATATACTTACGTCAGTTTTTAAAAATGCCTTTTCTTAAAGTGTTCTGTTGCAGTCAATATAGATCAATCCTGAAACCTCGTATATTGTTCTTTCCTTATATAAATCATATTATTCAACTTTAGTTATAACAAACCGAAAAGCTTGCCCTTTTACGGACCGTTTCATTGCCATATAAACTACACTGTTTATTGGGAAAGAAATTATCTTAATGCAGTTTAAGTTAATTATGAATTATACAGCATAATTTTCATTTTCCATTCGTTTCTTTTCGATCAGGATTAATTGATGGGTATGAACAGGTCCGTTCCTGCGGGGTCGAGCACATGCGTGCAGGTATTTTTCTGCACCCCTGTGTAATTTTAAATATTTAATTTATTTTGGCTTTTGGACAAAAAAAGTTTCCCATCTTTTGGACAAAACAATAAGTGGATAATGTATTTGTCCTACCACTGGAAACTTCTATTTTATAGGATACCGACCGAATTTGGCGCCCCTAAATTTTGCCGCCTGTGTACGAGACATTCGCTGCATACCCGCCAGGAACGGGCCTGGGTATGGATTCCCTTGAAGGTTCATTGAGAGCTTTAAATTTTATTGAATAATAAATTGTAACTGTAAGGGAAAGGGTGCATTTTTTGATGTATTACGTTATTTATGTTCACAAACTTGTTTCAGAAATACCGGTACTTTCTGATTAACCGCACCTATACGAAAAGTCTCCCATCTTATTAGCAACTTTGTAAGTTTGCGTAAAACGTTTGTTGAATCCCCTTGTGAGTCATAGTTTTGTTCTACGTAATGTTATCTTCGTAAATAATTATAAAAATTAGCATTTTACAAAAAACGGAAACTTTTTTTTTAAAGCAAGAATGATGTAGGGCTGATATTTGCATTTTTTGCAGCTGGTGAACACTGTTCAGTTAAATATAAAGTGTGTAAATCCACGTGTTCTCGTGTACCTTTGAAAATATGCTACAAATACTGCAGTTATACCGAACATTGAAACCGGGGATACGAATAATCAGAAAGTACCAAAACATCTTCGAATAACTTCGCATATTTCAAAGAACAGCTCAAAGGAATCTTTCTCTAAATGTGGTAAAACATGCTGTTGTGTTAATATAAAACTTCTGATTTCTGTGAAGTTACTTAACTATTTAAAATCGAAAGCAGTCTCTTAATAAAATATATTTAGATACTTTAATTTTATTTGTTTATGTAAATATTATAATTTAATGTAAGGTTTCCAAATGAATATTGCTTAAAACTTTAAATATATTCTTTTAGAGCATTTCGGATGTATTTGAAATAATTTGTGTTTATTTAGGAAGATTAAAATATTTGTTAGGAAAATTAATTAAAATGAAAAATTTAAACATCAATCCCAGTTTTAAGTTTTAGGAACTCTTCCTTTACTAGCTAAAACTCTCTTCACTAAAGCACTGTCAATGTTTTCTTTCGCGTCAAAATTGTTCATATTCATAGTCTCAAAACACTTCAAACATCGTGCGCATATCTTGTCACACAAAGCGAAATATCCGCCTTCGGGTTCTCTGTTGCCATTGGACGAAATCGGAGGTGGCGTGATACGTTTTTCATGTAGCCTTTGGGTTAAGTTCTGTTTCTGGTGACCCGATTTCGAGTCGTCTTCCTACTGCACAAAATTTTGACCTAAAAGTAAAACTGCGTTTCCTGGTTCATATCGCTTGTACTTACGTTCCGTTACTTACTTTCTTCTATGAAGATGTAAAGGTCGAGCATTCACCATTTTCAAATTCATTCAGCCTTGTAGAAAAATTGTACTTCTTCATGGTTTGAAATTCCATGAGTATGAATGATGGAGGGTTAAAAGATAACATGATGATGATCAACTTTCAGTCTTGCAAGTCAGTTTGAGAGAAGTTTCTATTAGGAAAAGAATCAAACCTTATGTATAAAAAGAATGTTAAATAATAATGATGTTCAGTAATTTTAAAAGCTTAGACATTTTCTTCCTAATTACTATAATTGAGTCTTAATAACAATAAATGTGTAAGGTTTATTTTAAACAACGTTATTTTTGTGTTAATTCTTTCATGTTATTTCTGTTTCTTCCACCACCTTTAGGGGAGTAAATAGGAAACGTCTGTGTAATTAGAGAATTTGGCAATTCACCAAGAAAGCTGTTCATCTCGTGAGAAGCCCACCTGCTAAGATGGTTTTGATGATCGTTTTCTTACATTTTTCAGCGTTTATGGTTAAAAATCGCGAAATACAGCCATGCTGTAGACAGACGTATCTATTAGTTGTATTCTACGTATTGAAGCATTTGTGTTCCCAAAGATCCGCAAAGAATGATGAATAAGTTTTGTTAAATTTTAGTTGTAATGCAAGTTCTAATGTTTAATGAACATTTAGTTAAATTTTATTTCTATGCTTTTAGAGTTGTAGATTTTTGGTGAATTACGAAGACGATAAATCATCCAAAGCACTGCACTGTTGAACAGATAATTTTAAGTGTTAATTAGGTTTAAACTTACAAATGAATATATTTAAATTTAATTTATAGAAATTTTATTCGTGGGATATATTATTTTTATTATACTATGAGGAATAAATTTTGAATTTAGAGTTCAAATGGTTCATTTTCAGAATCCTATAATAACTTTGAAAATAATTAAGTAAAAAATAATGCGTGATTCTGTCGATAAGTTTTGTATAGTGATGTAACGAAATGAATATAGCACAGCGTTTGAAAATGAAACTTTTGATACCGCTTTTACGGCTCGTGAATTCCCTACCGAGCTTCCTTTTTAGAAGATCTCAAACAATAATGTAACTTTTAATAACAATATTATTAATCAGCCTGAGTTATAGCATAACTTTGTCGATGTATTTTTAGCGCCGTTGTTATTCATCCAAGAAAAAATTAGAGGATTCGTAATCAATTCTTAAAGTAAATTCCTTAAAGG